ATAGAGTTGTTGAGAATGTTTACTGATTTTCGCAGGATAAATAAAATAAACGTTAGTGCAGCGGAAATAAAAGAGAGAAGGCAAAGAACACACCGATGTATACTGGTTCACCACCTCGTGGCTAGTCCAGTTCCCCGAGAGACTCTCTCGAAGCTACCACTACTTTCGTTAAGCTTACGGGTGCTTAACAAACCGTTTACAACTCGAGAACTTGAATCCCACAAGCCTCAACACAATCGCTCGTAGATATGCTCTCTACAAGACTTCACAACCAAGACTTAAATCACATAAGCCTTGAACAATAAGAAGAACAATCTTCTTCAACTTCTCAGCAATAACTCTCACTAGAGTAGAAATGAGAAAAGATTAAGCTCTATGGATGACAAGAACACTCTCTTGAAAACACTTAGTTTTCTCTCAAAAATATATTAATTTGAGGAAGAAATGAATGGAGGATTATAACCTCAAGATTGGGGAGTTTAGGAGTGCTTGTTCATGTTCAAAACTGACCAAGGAAGAGTGTTTAAATAGGGGTTGAAGGAATATATCCGTTGGTCCAAGAAAAGAAGCTGGGATGAAAAGTCCAGCATGATAATCGATTAATGCAGCGTCCATAATCGATTAATGGGCTGCGAAAAGCTTAATAATCGATTAATGCGAAGTAAATAATCGATTAGGAGGCTGCGAAAAGCTTAATAATTGAGAACTACGATGAGGAATTTGCCATGATGGTCAAGCAATTCCGGAAGTTCAAGAAGTTCTTCAAGAAGGCTGACTCAGTTAGAAGGTCGTCCAAGGGAAAGCCACAGGTAAGTGACTCCCCTCCTGAATCTTATTTATGCTATAACTGCAGGAAGCCTGGCCACTGGAAGTCAGCATGCCCGTACCCAAAGAAGGCAATGGTTGCTGCTGAAAGTGACGAGTCATCCAGCTCAAGCTCAGATGAAGAAGCCCTCATCTGCATAGAGCGCAGAGTTGAGAAGTCCAACCATGAGGATAGATGGACTATGTCAGAAGATGACACCCTCTGCCTAATGGCCAAAGATGATGCTGATCAAGAGGTAACTTCACAAACCTCCTGCTCATCTTCTTATGAAAGCATACCAACTTCTGAAAACCTTTTTGACCAGTTCAAAAAGATGATGGAAGATTTTGAGGAAATAAATCTCAAACATTCATCCTTAACAGAGGAGAACATACTATTGAGTAAAGAGAATCTCAAGTTGACTGAAGGTCGAAAAAGTCAACTGAATGAGATCACTCAACTCAAGACTGAAAATGAATCTCTCTCTGAAAAGGTGAAATCCCTTAACAAGGAGCTAGGAATACTTAAGTCCAAAGAAGCAGTGGATAAGCTTTTTGAAACGACCAAACATAAGGGTCGTGAAGGACTTGGATTTGAGCCCTCTAGTTCCAAAAGGAAAGTGAGAACAACTTTCATCCCTCCTAAACCTACTGCCCAACCAAATAAGCAGAAAGGAAAGGAAAAGGAGAAACCAACAGAATTTCCAAAAAAGGTAGTCCCTCATAAGAACTATAGGAAGCTGGACAGACCTCAAAAAAGAAATAATTTCAGAAGAAAACCTTCTAACCCCCATTATACACGAGGCTATACTCATTATGGGGTAGATAGGAGTTTTTCAAGAAATTCTGAGTGGAGAACTATGCCCAGATATAGTCATTCTCCACCCAAGAAACTGTTTGTGCCACCTAAGTATGTTTATAATCGACACAGGTCACACTATGCACAACCTAGACAAAATCATAGGTCTTATCAACCTAGGTTTGCTAGGAGGAAACATGAAGTTGCACCCCCTGCACGTAGGAAGTTTTATGCCTACAACTATGATTACAATCCCAACAAGTTTAAAGCTGCAAGAAAAATTCCCTGCAACTTCAAACTTGATGTAGGGACACACACCATTAACTATTCCGGACCCAAACTTAATTGGGTACCAAAATCTTCCTCCTCCTAATGCAGGAAGCCGCTAAAGTACCCAGGTGTCTGGTACTTAGACAGTGGTTGTTCAAGACACATGACGGGTGATGCGAGCCTTTTGAGCAATCTAATTCCCTATGATGGTCCAAGAGTTACTTTTGGAGGAAGCAATGATTTTGGCCTTACGAAAGGGCTAGGAAATTTAGTGTACAAGGGACTAACCATCCAAGCTGTATCTTATGTTGAAGGTCTCAATTATAACCTTCTTAGCATAAGTCAGTTTTGTGATAAAGGTTACTCCTTGGAATTCTACAAGGACATGGCATCTCTCAAGAACATATCCACAAATGAAGTCATTCTCACTGGGAAGAGAATCAGAAACATCTATGAAGTAATGTGGGATAATGTCAAGGAAGCATGTCTAATCAGCAAAGGTGACACTAACCTTCTACGGCTTTGGCATAAGAGGTTGAGTCATCTCAACTTCAAAACTCTCAACAAGCTGTCCGAAGAAGAGTTAGTAGAAGGTCTTCCCAAAGCGGCATTCAGAAAAGAAAGTATTTGTGATGCTTGCCAAAAAGGAAAGCAAGTCAAGTCCACCTTCAAGGCAAAATCTGCACCCTCAACTACAAGGATATTAAGTCTTATTCACATGGACTTATTTGGCCCTGTTACATCAATAAGTCTAAGTGGAAAGAAATATGTCCTGGTGGTAGTTGATGATTACTCAAGATACACGTGGACAATCTTCCTCAACGGCAAGAAGGAGACTCAAGGGAAACTCACCAACTGCATGAAGCTAATTCAAAACCAAGCAAGGCAGACCATTCAGAAGATCAGATCTGACAAAGGCACAGAATTCCTAAATGAAATCATCATTCACTACTGCGAAGAAAACAGAATTCTTCATCAGACATCTGCAGCAAGAACACCTCAACAGAATGGTGTAGCTGAAAGAAGGAACAGAACTCTGAAGGAAGCAGTGAGAACCATGCTAGCAGAAGCCTCCTTACCAAAGAGGTTCTAGGCTGAAGCAATTAACACAGCCTGCTACACTCAAAATAGGAGTATGATTTATAAAAGGCACAACAAAACTCCCTATGAACTGTGGAATGGGAGAAAGCCTAATATATCATATTTCCATATTTTTGGGAGCAAGTGCTTTGTGTTAAACAACAAGAAGAATCATCTGAACACTTTTGATGAGAAATCAGATGAGGCCATCTTCCTAGGATATTCCATGATGAGCAAGGCATTCAGAGTCTTCAACAAAAGAACCATGATCACTAAAGAGTCAATACATGTTATTTTTGATGAAAAACATGTGGTTGAGAAACCATCAAAGCATGATCATGAGGTTCTGGATCTATCAGACAAGGATGAAGAAGTCAATGAAGGAGATAGAATGAAGCCTACGGAGTTCATTCCATTCAGAAGTCTACCACTGAAGACTTCACAGAGAAATCCAGATTCAGACAGTACTGAGCCTTCCAGAAATTTTGGCCAGCCTTCCAATATTCCGGATCTCTCAAACGACGACAATTCCGGAAATGGCACCTAGTGCCAATCCATCCGGAAACACCAACAACCTCTGTTCTTCAACCAGAAGCTGAACTAAATCAACCAGTCAATCCCAATCAACACAATCTCCGTTGGTTAAGGGATCACCCTCCTCAACAGATCATTGGAGATATTCAATCTGGTGTTCGCACAAGGAGTGCCCAATAGAATCTAGAAGCTATGCTTGCTTGTTTCATCTCACAAGTAGAACCAAAGAATATTGAAGAAGCTCTAGCTGATTCTGACTGGATCAATGCAATGCAAGAAGAACTCAACCAATTTTCCAGAAATGAAGTCTGGAAACTTGTTCCCAGACCTACTCATCAACATGTCATTGGGACAAAGTGGGTCTTCCGGAACAAGATGGATGAAAACGGCGTTGTTGTCAGAAACAAGGCCCGGTTAGTTGCAAAAGGATACTGTCAAGAAGAGGGTATAGATTTTGATGAAACCTTCGCTCCAGTTGCTAGACTTGAAGCTATAAGGCTGTTTCTAGCCTTTGCTGCTCATAAGGACTTCAAGGTCTATCAAATGGACGTCAAAAGCGCATTTCTCAACAGAAACCTAGAGGAAGAAGTTTATGTGGAACAACCTCCAGGATTTGAGTTACACACGAAGGGAGATCAAGTGTATAGACTCAAAAAGGTGCTATATGGACTCAAACAAGCACCAAGAGCTTGGTATGATACATTGTCTCAATTTATTATAAACAATGGATTTACCAAAGGAGTCATTGACAAGACACTGTTCAAACTACAAGATGGAGAAGATCTCCCATTAGTTCAAATCTATGTGGACAACATCATATTTGGCTCAACTAAGGAGGATCTATGCACCAAGTTCTCAACCCTCATGCAAGGAAAATTTGAAATGAGCATGATGGGGGAACTCAACTACTTCCTTGGCCTTCAAATCAAACAGAGAAGTGAAGGCACTCTCATCAATCAAGCCAAGTATACAAGGGATCTTATCAAGAAATTCAAAGTTGATCAGAAGTCATCCGTTTCTGTCCCCATGAGTACATCCACCAAGCTTGATATGGATGTAGATGGAAAGGATGTAGATCAAACTCTCTAAAGAGGAATTGTCGGATCTCTACTCTAGCTTACTGCAAGCCGTCTGGATATCTCATATGCAGTAGGTGTTTGTGCCAGATTCCACTCAAAGCCAAAGGAAAGTGATCTGATAGCAGCTAAAAGAATTCTTAGATACCTCAAAGGAACTCAGAACATGGGATTGTGGTATGCTAAGAGCAATTCATTTGAGTTAGTGGGATACTCAGATTCTGACTTTGCCGGATGCAAAGTTGACCGGAAAAGTACATCTGGTACTTGTCAATTCATTGGTGGAAATCTCGTTTCTTGGTTCAGTAAGAAACAAAACTCCATTTCTACATCAACAGCAGAAGCAGAGTACATTGCAGCTGGTAGTTGTTGTGCTCAAATTTTGTGGCTAAAGCAACAACTACTGGACTATGGAGTCAAGACAAAGGAAGTGACAATCTTTTGTGACAATCAAAGTGCCATAGCCATCTCTCAAAACCCAGTGCATCATTCTCGCACTAAGCACATTGATGTCAAGCATCACTTCATCAGAGATCATGTGGAAAAGAAAGATATCAAAATTGAGTATATCTCAACTGAAGAACAACTGGCGGATATCTTCACAAAACCACTAAGTGAAGCCATGTTTTCCGATTTACTTCACAAAATCGGTCTAATTCAATTAGACTGAGTGCGGTACACGTGGCGGACTACTTTCCACGTCTGTCAAAACATTGGGTAGGCACGTGGCCTTGGGAATAGTCAAAAACCCAATCGCCACCAGCCGCAAAATCGCCCAAATTAAACCCAATCGCCACTACTCAGATCTCAACCGCCCACTCAAAATTTTTCGTCGCCTTCTTCGCGAAAAACTCTCAAGAACTCGCAAGAACCCTAGGTCTTTCTCTCCCAAATTCTCACTCAAATTTCTGAGAAAATGAAGGTTGTCGGCGCAAATGTCCACTTCTAGAAGTTAGAAGCCAAGTGCTCTTCACCGACATTCTTTCAAAGCTATCTGGAGATGATAGCCGCTCAAGAACTCTCCGAAGGACCCACAAAGCTAAAATTTGAGGAAGAAGTTCTTGAATTCTACAGAAATGGAGAGGTCAAAACTGCTCATTCAAAGAAGGACCCACAGAGGACGTTTCCAGTCATCAAGTCCACTGTTGGAGGTACAAAAGTGAAGCTTTCGCAGAAGAAATTGGGAAATTTCCAGTCAAAAGCCTGAACTGGAACATCATTGGAATCTCTGGGCAAGTTCCTTCTGGCCCAGCGAAGAAAGCAAATCTGAATAACGATTACAAGTTAGTGTTGGAACTGGTCATCGCTTGCCTCGAGTGTGGAAGTGGAGGTCATGCCGATGACATCACCCAGGAGAGAGCCTTCATCATCAACGCTCTAATTACCAAATCAAAGGTAAACTGGGCTGCACACTTTTTCAAATCCATTTCAAAACATCTGGGAAAGCACAATCAGAAGTATCTTTGTCAAGGTCTATATATTGGACATATTTTGGAGTCTATGGGCGCTGCATTTAAAGGGAAAAAGTATGAAGCCCGATATTGGCTATACTACCTGTCGTCAAAAAGGGGAAAACAGAGCAGGTGCTAGTGCTACTCTAGAAGAAAGCTCATCAGACAATATCCCACTCATCAATCTGACAAAGACTGCCAAAAGAAAGCAAGTGGTGTCTCCCTCCATCAGCATTGAAGCACCACAGAACCTTGCGTTGATCAATTTGGAAGAGGAAGAAGAAGTCTCTGACCATGGAGAACTTCAAAGGAAGAAAAAGAGGAAGATCAACTCTCCATCAACATCTGGAAATGTCAATCCGGATGAGTTGAAGGAGAAGGAACCTGTTGAAGAAACCTCTGCCCAAAACCGGAGCCCTCAACAACTTGAAGAAAAAATTCCTCAAGTCCAAAGCCTTCCAACCTCATCATCTCAACCTCAAATAGATGATGCTGATAACCAATTCTGGCAGCTCTACTATGATTGGAAAACCTGGAAAGTTGGGACCAACAACTGAAGAATGAGAAGATTATCAAAAAGTGCTTAGGATACCATTCAACCATAGCTGTGAACAAATTTTGGATGACTACTGGGTATGGCAAAGGAACCCTGAAGACTTGCATCTGGAATACCTGGCCAACACACCAATTTCAGAATTTGGAGTGGATGATGAGGATCCTGCAGTCTTCAAGCCAGTCTTCTCAAAAGACACAGAAGATCAAGTGGTTCTCACTTCTGAAGCACAAGGTGTTTTGGAAGCAGCAGCTGAATATTTCCAAACACTTCCGGAAACCTCACATGCTTCTGAAATGGTTCTGACTGAAGTTGTTCAAGAGAAGGCAACCTCTCCCCCACAAGAACAGAACCAGAAAACAGCGGAAGAAGGAGAATTTCAGCAACTAATCCAAACTTAAGTTTTAGAGATTCTCACAACTCCTTGTGAGATCTCCAATCATACTGAAACTGAGATCCCGGAGAAGTTAGCAGAAATTCCAGAACAGTCAACCTTCCCAGAAACAAATGAAGAGGAGCAAGCGGTAGAAGTCCAAAGGAATTCTGGAGAAGCAGAGAAGGAAACTCAAATGGCAGAACTGGAGGTCTCTAAAACCCCAATAGCCATTTTTGAAGAACAAAATGAAGCTGAAGATAATGACTCCCTCTCTAGAAGCATATCAAATTTTGCACTTGACAAAGCAAAAAGGAGAGTCTGAGAGGACACTAAAGGTTGCTGATGAAGAAGATGTACAAGAAGATGCCGAATCTCTTCATATGCAACTCTTCCAAAGAACACCCTCCTCTCATCAGGTAACCAACTTTCATTTTCATAGCTCTTCTACCCCTACCTTTCCGGATGGTGTACCGGAAATCTGGACAAAGCAGGTCCAAGGGCTGATTGAATCAGCCCTAACATCTCAACATGCCTCCTTTAGGCAAGAGATAGAGCAAATGGAAGCCAGGTACACCAAGCTGAAAGAGAAATCTGAAGAGAAACACAGCACAGATCTCAAAGAAATAAGCAAGTCAGTGGACAAGACTCTAGAGATCATCTCTCTATTGAGTGAAACTATGAGCAACACGATGGAAATATATGCCTCTGACAGTCAACTTCAACTCAAAGAGATCAACAACGTCAAGGAGCAAATAGCGAGTGTCACAGTTGGTCTACAAAAACAGATGTCCCTTCTCCAAATGGACATCAGATCAGCCCTAGCAGTAGCTTCTGCAAATCAAGTAGTGACCAAAGACTACTTGAAGGTGATCATTGACAATCAAAAAGAAGCATACAAGCTGTTCAGACTTATTGGCGCAAATTCTGGGAACCGCAAGATGGAAGTGATTCTCCAACAACACAGCCCATCTCCAATACCACAGCTCCCTATTGCAGTCAAAGAAGGAGAAGTATCTTATATTCCTTCTCATCTGAACATGACAAATCTAATCCTTGAAGCACAGAAAAGAAATCCGGAAAACTCAGCACAGCATCTATCCAACTCAGGACTAGATGGAACAGAATTTATAGGTACAGTTGTTGACCACTTCTCAAATGATGCTCAATTAGAAGAAAGACGTGAAAATTTAAGGCGCATCAAAGAACTGTGTGGGAACATGCAGGGCATCAGTGAGGTTGTCGGATCTTCAAAACGCAAGAGGAACTGAAGGTTCTTTTCATCAAACCAGGGGGAAAGTATGTGAAAACACTAATTTGTTTTGATGAAAACAACTTCTTGTTTAAACATTGCTTGATTGGTTTAAACATTGTGCTTATTATGCTTGATTATGCTTATCTCAAGTATGATTTTGAGAATTTTCTTTCTGAAGCGCATACATTCAGGGAGAATGTAATTTAGGGGGAACTTAACTAGTCTTTGGCTAGTTTTTGGCTAACAATTGTTTTTGGCAATGAATTATTGATGAGCTCTAAGCAAGGAAGACGGATATCTCAGTTTTGGTACTAAAATTGGAAATCTCCGATTCAGGTACTTTACAAAATCTGCCTTCTTAAACTAAGCTTTAATCCTTAATTCATCTCCAACTAGCTCTAAAAGTACTGGTCCTTAGGATTTTTATAATGTAAAGGACTTTGGAATAATAGTACCACTTTACTTTTAAAATTAATATTCATATTTGTTTTGGTACTACCTCGTCCTATTTAGAAATTAGAACTATAGGGAATAAAAAAAATGATAGTTTTGTTTTGGGCCTTGAGAACCCAATAGGAATTGAATAACTTTCCTTTAGTACATAGCTTTCTTTTCTTTTTGGGCCACTCTTTTGGGCTTAGCCAAACTAAAATAGTTAAGTTTCTCACACCAAACGGAACTGATTTTCTAATTGGAACAGTTTCAATTCCTTGGAAATTGGTAAAAGATTCTTTCAAGTTTTCAGTATTCAACTTCTTGGAAGTTGAAACTCTTTTACTCTCACCGTTCCAACTACTCTCTTAATAGAACCCGTGAACCTCCTCCTCTCCTATTTAAATCAAGACATTCCAATCCATTTCCATCACAAACAACTCTCTCAATATGAAAGTCTTCAAGTTCACTGTCTGAGAAAAACACCAAGAAAAATATCCGCAATGGAGAAATTTTTCTTTCTCACCCTCATAGACGGAAATGGAGAAAAGCCTAGTGAGAAAGAAAATAATCTAAAGTTTATGGTGCAATTCTCGGCAGTAGAGAAAGTTTATGGTGTAATTCTCGTATTTTTCAGGATTATACCATACACTTTCTCTGGAACAACACTCTCTCTATTTTTCTTTTTATTTTTACCTTGATCTCTTTCTCTTCCCTCTTTTTCTTTTTCTGGACTTTATTTTTCTTATTTTTTGGACAGTCTCTGCACCCTTCTCCCAAGCATTTTCTTCAAATCTTTTCTGTGCAGAACCTGTTCTCTTTCTCAAATATTATTTTTAAAATTTTTTTCCCTTCATCTTTAAAAACTTTATTTTTTTCTTTTGAGCAGTCGCTACACTCTTCTTACAATTTTTTTTTAAAAAAAATTTTGTGCTGCCTCTGCTCCATTCTCCCAAGCATTTTTCAAAATCATTTTTTTAATTTATTTTCAAAATTTTTTTTAAAAAACATTTTTATTTTTGCCTTCATCTTTAAATTTTTTTTTAAAAATCAATTTTCTTTTCCAAAACCTTTTCTTTCTTGTCATTTTATCTTTCTTTTGTTTTCTTCTTTCGTTTTTGTTTTTGCTTTTTGAGAGATGTGTTGCTTCCAAAATCTTGAATATCCACTTTGGATATTAAAGATCTATCAAACGCAACGCCAACCGCTCTGCCAAGCAGAATCTGCTGAAGCTGAAAACGGTCAATGGCGAAAGATATCACAAAATCTCAAGACAAGACTTGGTTTAGGAATTGTTGTAATGTGAATTGTATCTGTTTAAGAGTTTTTGTTAACAAGCTGTATATTATGAGAAACTAAAAGAAAGTTATAAAATTAGTTCTCAGTACAGCGACCGGAACTCTTAAACACTTGTTTGTCATCATCAAAAAGGGGGAAATTGTTGGGAAAAATATTATAGATTTTGATGATGATGTATTTAGAATGTAATAGGGACTTTAGGTCTCCCCCATTATTCAATGTAATTTTTATTTTTAGAAATATTGTCAAAACCGAGCTCTTGAGATTTCCAATAAAGTTGTGATATTTCTTTAATCGTTTTGATGCCTGAAGAGTTAATCAAATTCGGTAATATGGAAATTGGATATCTTGATCGGAAATGTCAGAGACAAGTAAGGACTTCTCAAACACATGAAAATCCTCTGATCCGGAAGACTACATAAGAACCGGATGTCTCGCTACAACCCGCTGAAGGCTAAGTCATCCAAGTCGGAAGACTAGCGCGGATCTCTTTCTCACCCGGAAGACTAAGAATGACTTCTCCGGATTTGTCAGCTAAGAATCGGAAGACTCATTGAAGACTGGAATTCTCAGAAAGCAGACAATGATGGTTAATCCTTCATTGTAGAGCTCGCTGTTCTGAACCCGATCGTGCAAACGGGTCGTGAATTGGATCTACAGGGTCCGAGATACGATTGACGAATAGGTTAAACTTGTCCTAATTGGTTAAGTGGTGTAAAGTGGACCCTAAATATATTTAATTATATAATTAATTATTATTTAATTACTGAAGGATAAGCACTGCGTAACGCAGGACTGGTCTCTCTCTCTCTTCCGTTACCTTGTGCCTGCCGCTGTCCCGTCGACTAGAGACGCCGACCAGGAAGCTGACGCCGCCATCTTCCTCGTTCTCCGCCGCTATTTCCGTCCGCGCATCGCCGAAGGAGAGGAGCAACCGTCCGTTGTCTCGCTTGTCTCCGCCGACCAGGGCAGCGCCGCGACTCGCCGTCGACTTCAGGAGTTCCGGTGACATTCTCCTCTTTTTCCTCCGTCGCGTGCAGCAGGCCGGCGAGTCCTTCCCAATCCAAGGTTGAATTCATCAAATTTCGAGGTGAATCGTGGTTCCTATACCTATAGTTAGCGTTAATTTGTAGAATTAGTACTTCCTTAGCTTCTAATCTTGCAATTGATTGTGTAATTGGGTTTGATTGTGGTTTAAATTGTTGGGGGAATGTTGGGGCTGTTTTCCGTCACCTTCTCCGGCGACGCACCGGCGGCGTTCGGCAGTAGGCCGGCCGGGTTCCGGGCAGTGGCTTGGCGATGGTGCTATGGTTCGATTGAGCTCACTTGAAACCAATTGGGTCCAATTGGGTTCAATCGGGTCCAATTGGGTTCAATTGGGTCCAAACGGGTTCAATTGGGCTATTTAGATTCAATTGGGTGCAATTGGATGTGTTTGGACTGTTTTGGGTTAATTGATGTACTGTTCGGGTTGTAGTGAATCGCCCAACGGGGCTGTTTGGCCTGGCTTCGGGTTCGGGCAGCCGGGGCGGCTACCGGTGGGGGTGCCGGGGTTGTTCCGGCGACGATGTGACTGTTCCGGCAGGGGCAGCGGGCCGGAGGATCGATTCCTTGGGTTCAGTTCAGCGCAGGTAAGTTTGATTAATTGTAATTTGGGTTTGTTGATTATGCATGTGGGTCTGTTGATTATGCATGACGCTACGTGATTTGTTGTGAATTTGTGAACTAATGTTAAATTAAATTAATCTTATTGGTGAATATTGTGGATTATGCATAATGTATGAGAAATAGGCCACCTAGTATAAATAGGCGGACCTGAATTGGATTGACTGTCACCAATAGGATATGGTTAGGACATTGGCCATTGCGGGGCGTCGTCGCACCCCCGGTGGTCTTGGGTTAAAAACGTACGTACGGAAGTCCGCGACCTGTCGTGGCATCGCAGGGACAGGGGCTTCAACCCGCCCAAAGTGAATCTCCTTTGGGTTTTTGAGCTGGCCCTTTTATAGCATCGCTTGGGGTGCCATGACTCAAAGTAGTTGATGTGGAATAAAATTAGGACATGATGTTCAAATGGAAGGTGTTAACATAAATATGTTTATTTAAGCTATTTTTCTCCGTGATCACATGCTGTTGTTGATTGTATGTTAATGTGGTACTATTCTGTGAGTTGATGCTGGCTTAGTTATATTTTCACTCAGCGTTTCGCTGAGCGTGTAGTCGTTGTTGTTTGACTGCACGCAGGTAGGAACACAGATTTGGATGGGCAACCCGGAGGGCAGTGAAGTGGTGGTGTGGCGTGGATGGCTCTTGTTTACTTTAATAATTAAAGTACATTATTTTATTTGATTATATGGACTCTTGGTCATTACTTTGGTTTTCTTATGCTTTCGCGACGTTTGGATTTATTTAATCACTCCAATGAACTATGGTTTCGTTTACTCTCTCTTTGGATGACTTTTTATAATTTATCTGATGGTTTAATTAAAAAAATTATGCATGCGAATACCAACTTAGTAACAACCCGATTCGCTAACCCGCTGGTTCGGGTTACGCGGGTTGGGGTGTTACAGAATATCTACGGGCTTACCTCGAAGTGTAATGGAGGTTTTGAAAATTTTCCAGCGAAACTTCCGGCGACGATAGCTCTCAACTCCGGCGACCTCACACCAATACGACAGCACTACTGTGTTCACCACACTCAGAGCCAACTCTCAGAAGAAATTTGGGAAGAAATGGTGAAGAATTGGGTAGGAAGAGGTGGTCCTTATATAGCCCAGTGAAAAGGAAGCAGACACGGTGGTGACCTCCCTTCTACTGTTTCGGCGGCTGAGTGGAGTGGGCTGCTATCTTCTCCGATTTTAAACGTAAGTCCCTGATTGGGACTAAATTGGTCCTAATCGGGGAACAGTTTTTGGTCTAACTTTTTCCAAATTGAAATCCGTTTGAATCGTTGGAATCAGACAGTTAACCTTTACATAACGATATAATTTTTATTATTTATACACAATTTTTATAATTCACATATTTTTGGGTTGTTCTTAGTAATTAATTAATTATTAATTAATTAAGTTTGATAAGCCTAATTTTGGAGCGTTACATGGGTTGAATGAATCATCCTTTATTTCCCCAACCCCGAGGTACCGTCATCAGGTTAGTGCTTGTGGAAGGGGTGCATGGAGAAAGGCTAATGGGCCTTACGGGAGAGACCCCTCGGCTTTGGGAACCTGTCTTAATTTGGTTGGCCTTTATCCCAACATTACTCAAACTCTCTCTCCTCTTGTTATTTCTGACTCATTGTCTTAAAATACCTTTTTCCTTTTTATTAAAAAAAAGAACTACCTTTATTAATTTTATCGTAACTATCAAATCATATTTATTTACTGATAATATATTGCTTACATCAAAGGAATTTTTAGAAAATCAATACAAAACATTTCTCTCTTAAATTTCAAATAAGTCAAATTGTGAAAGGCATTAATTGACGTTGGAAGTATTCTTTTTAGTAAGTGGCTTCCTAGCTCCTTGTATTTTTCGTATGTCTTACTATGTCTCTAAATTATTTTAGGTAATTATTAGCTCCTTATAGTTTTTGAAAGTTTTTCCTAGATTTTTAAACTATTTCAAATGCTTACCAAGACGTTATATTTTTATATAAGTACTGCTCTCGTTCATAAATTATTTCAAATGCGTGTTTGATCCAAATACTTTCTAACTTGTGCATTAGTCCATTCGATCCCTTTTCAAGCTGGTTTCCAGAGTGTTCTACATGCGGTAATTGTACAAAAAAATGCAACTCAGTATAAACTCTTCAGAGAATGTTCTGAATACAATATTTGCGCAGAAATATTATGGTACTCTGTATAACATCCACTTTTTAAAAAGTATTTTATTCTTTCGTTCCTGAAAATTCAGTAATGTTCTATTACTGATTTCTACTATCAACGGATGATACACACTTATTTAAAACTTTTCCAGTATTCCATTTGTAATACTGTTAGTTCCTATCTCCTAACCTCTTCCCTAAACCCCCCCTACCGCACCCCACCCCCAGTTCGACCATTGCAACCGTGCCCTATAAAAGGTTCAGGAGTTTGAAGGGGGGGCTAGGGGGTGGGAGTCGTCTGTTTCGCAAACTAAACACCGAAGAAATTTTAAATGAGCGAATGTCATCCATTTCCATTAGAAACCAGTGTCAACGAGCCTTGCTGCTGAAAATTATTAATTTGTTAATACTGATTGACAAACCTCAAAATAATCACAGAACTATAGAGTAGTTGATAGTGGAAAACATAGAATGACACATGTTTGGATAACAAGAGGACAAACTCAAAGCAGAATAAAAAATTATGTAAATATCTGGTTGTCGCACAATGTCATAATTTAATAAATAAACACATTACACCTTGTATGCAAAGGTCTAAATCTCATAATTTAATAAATAAACACATTACACCTTGTATGCAAAGGTCTAATTGCAACCCATAATATACCACCATGCAAAGGTTTTGGTTTTTAAATTTATTCGAATCAATCAGAGCAAACTGCAAATGGTATTGGAGAGGGGTCGATCAGAATAGCTACATGTCCACGGCAGTACACATTGATCTGAGAGCATAGTCGCACCGTAGACACCTGTTCATATATTTTATTAATTTTTTAAAAGAGAAAAAAATAGTTCAAGACTATACTCCAACCTTCTAATCAAAAAGACTCCCAAAATGCATACAAACTTGGGAGTATCTGTGTACGTTTTGCATTATTTGTTATTACTCATATTATTTACCTTCACTGCATAGTGTTCTATAATTTTATGTCAGAACTCATGTTCAACTACTGTTTGCTCAACTTTATTACATTTGAAGAACGAATTACCTCATCTTCGTCTAAATCATTACATCCATCGCGCAGATCACGTTGCTATCTCTTGATGCTAGAAAAGGCAAAAAAATAATTAGCAACAAGAGATCCTCATAGGTTCAGTAACTGCCCAACAATCACTCCACGATGCAAGAAAAGCCATTACTTTGATTTTTTCTATTAGAGACAGACAAAGTAACTAAGAAGTGCATTTATGCCTTCCTCTTACTTTTAAACACAGAACAAAAATTACCCTTATATAATCCCAATTCAATGAGGTCTTGAGGGTGGATAAGTAAGCAACCCTGGATTCATTGAGGGCCTGTTTGGGGTGGGTAGGGGTGGGCATGTTGGACTTTTTTTTGCAAAAAATTATTACAATTAAAGAATGAAATACCTTGTCTTTCTCTAGTTCACTCCAATCATTGCACAATCCTGCATCAACGATAATGATAAAATCATAAACGCAAACTCATAATTTCAGGCAATGAATCATGATTCTTTGTCTTGCATTTTTAAATATTATTGTTATCGCTTTGTTGTCAAAATATTGCTTATTAATTAGTCAAAGTACCAGACAGACCAAGTCCCCCGGACAGCAGGCCAATTGTGAGTGATAGAACACAAGGTGCTTGTATTAGATACTTTATTCATTTAATGTCTAAAACTTCTTTGAACATAAGAAGCAATACCAACATTTCAGAAGAACTTTTACATAAAAGTTCCTCTAGTTACCTTTCACCATCAAACAACATTATACAGCTACTTTCAAAAAAAAAATCAATCATTGGTCATAAGCCTCACTGGATGCTTCATGCTTCAAACAGATTAATAATTTTGCTAACTTGTTTTTACGATTGACGCATCATAAAGTGAGCCTACTACTAAACAAACAACAACAACAACAACATTACCCCAGTGCCTCAATGGCTCCCGCCCAATGCGGGGTAAGGGGGGTCGGATGTACGCATTCTGAACCCTATTTTTAAAACATATAGCGGCTGTTTCCAGATGACCCATGATGAGCGTCGAAACTTGCATTGACTAATTGCTACTCCCTCCGTCCATTTTTAATGTACGTACTTTCCTTTTTAGTCCGTCCATAAATAATGTTCGTGTTTCCATTTTTGGAAATCTTTTTTACACCAAAAGACCTAATTACCCTTTATTCCTATCCTCTTTTTTTTCTTTTCCTCCACACTCCACCACAGCCCACACAACCTCTTTTTTTCTTCTTTTTTCTTCTTTCCTTCTTCTTTCTTCTTTCCTTCTCGGCTTCTCCACTTCGGTCCTTTTTTTGCCCAGGTTTCTTCCTCTTCTCTCTTCCCTTCTTTTCTCAGGTTTCTTCCTCTTCTCTCTTCTCTTCTTCCTCCTCCTCCTTGTTCTTCTTCTTCTTGTTCTTCTTCGGATTCGTTGTCTTCTCCTTCGGATTCTTCATCTTTCCTTCGGATTCTTCGTCTTCTTCTTCGAATTCTTCATTTTCTTCTTCGGATTATTCAGATTTGGCCCAGATCTTAGAAATATAATTCAGATCTATGAAGGGGATGGAAGATGTCAGGGCTTAGATCTTAGAATATTATTCCGATTCTTCATTTTCGGCAATGGATTGCCGGAACATGTCTGATTTTGGATGATAGGGTTTGGCGGCGGGGCTATGCTGGCGATGGAAGACGTCGGATCGGCCTGGACATTGAGGGGAGTGGGTGACGGTATCGTGGGGAGGAAATTGGAGAGGGTATAATTGGAAAGTCAATGTAAAATTTAACATTCCTTAATCTCCGTTCCGGGTCAAACTCTGAACATTAAAAATGGACGGAGGGAGTACTTCACAATTGCAAGAAGCGCAGACAATTTAAAGACTTAATTTGCTTTGTTCCATCATACCCCAAAGCCAAAAAATAAATAGTGAACCTTTAGCTCCATAGGGGAATGGAAATGAGCCTACTACTAAAGATTATCATAAATAAGAATTTCTGTCATACCACTGTAGCTAAATGTAGCAAAACACTTGTTTTGAGCTATGTGGAAACTTATGAGGCAGATTATTTGTGTAAAATGAAATATTTGCAAAGGGTAATAATGTAATATAAACAAAAGTGCTTCACCATTCTAATTGTTATGGTTGAATTCTTTGAATTGTTTATTATTAAATTTAGGATTGGGTTGGAAGTACTCGACCAGGTTATAAGACTCCTCAATAGACCTACAGTAAACAAACCAATTCGGTAGTTCAACTCAATATCTTAGTAACCTATCATTCTTTTATAAACAATCAAGTGTGGGACTCTAACACTCGAGAGACCAGGCACACTGCTTTGGTTTGGGACATATTCTTTTAGAACAAATAATAGAATCTAAAAAGTAAAGTATAACCAAAATATACAATTACTTACCATCACTCCAAGTCAACTTGATCTCAAGTTTATAATCATTCGTCTCGTGTTCAATGCTGCGATGTCCAATACTGAATGTATCCCTGCATGATACATGATGTTTCAGAGACATGCCACAAAAAGCCATGTCAATAATGAGGGATGAATCCATTGGCACCGCAACAACATTTCGAGAAAGTGGTACTTCCCCATCCTCCTTTAATTGTACTGGATCCTTCTCCGTCCTTTTGAAAATCATGCTCCGAAAATAATCTTTCTTGAACTTAGTTGAGTAGTCAAAGTTGCTATATTCCACAAATGCACTTCCGTAGATCCTCTTAATTCCGGAATGAAAGCTATTAATATTGAAAATAATCTCGATGTTCGCTTGGCAAGCTCTTGGGAACAAGGAGTAATGCAACGCACAAAACCCTTTTTTGCCCGGAAAAACAGAACATATTTGGGTGACAAAACATGTTCCATGGACTCCATTTCCAAGCTCATGAGTAGCAAAACCAGTATTCTGAAAATTCCCACCAACATCTTCCAGATTGACCTTAAATTCAAGCGAGTCACACTGGCCAAAATTCATGCACACAACTTTCAATGGTATTACTTTCTGTGTATCTTCTACTTCCACACCATCATTACTGTGACTCTTGAATAAGTAGCGGGTATTACCATCGGAAGAGAATTCAACAGTGCCAACAACTTTCAATGCCACCCTTTTTTTACAGCCGATAAAGATTGAGTAGAATTCTACTAATGGTGATGGTTTCAATCTTTGATCATGACACCTGATTGAAAAATAAATTTATAAACCATTAAACACTAAAAGTGGATAAGCTAATATATTGAAAGTGCACAAATGGAAGAATCACAAACCAAAGGTTGCCATTGTTGGGTGATGACGATTCCAACTCAAACTGAAGAGAAATGACAAAATGTTAGATAAAGAGTGATATAAAATTCAACAGATCAAACTAATGCAATGCTCTCTTAATGTAATTTGTTGCCCTTTAACAATACGTTGGTAGTGTTAGTAATAGAAAACAAGATGAACATTAACTAAAATGAAATTTTCAGCAACAAAAGCAATCCCATTATGTCATCCCAACTCTGTTGGAATCTAAAGGTCTAGATGTACGTATTCTAAACTTATCAACAGACAGGGGTTGATGTTAGACCCATGATGCATGGCTATATTTATTGCCAAAAAAATCATAAAAAGAAGAAATGGCTATTTTCCATTAGCAATGGGAAAAGAAATCTGATTCAAAAATCAAATTCATTACATATAATGTTCTTAGGTTAAATATGTTTTAGTCCTTTTAAAATAAGCGTGTTTTGCAATTGGCCTCTATAAAAAAAATTTTACTTAAATCATCCTTAAAAAATGTATCTTGCATTCCTAAGTACCTCATACCTAGTCCATATCCTAAATTGTATAATTCTTCATATTAAATTCCCCATTTTTAAATTTCTTTCACCTGTCACGACACCAAAATTTCTTTCACGATCCATCCCAACCTACGTGGATACAATATAGGGCACAATTAGCGTGTCTGATCTAATTACTAATGCAAGACTAGGATGCTAAGTATGAAATGGCATGCCATTTCAACTAATCAGGAGTTCTAGTAACATTTGAGGACCATTTGCAAAATAAAAACTTCGTAAGGATGAATTTAGTAAAAAATATTTTACGGGGACCAAAAGCATATTTACCCATGTTTTTATTGCACCAATATTTATCTTGAGTGTATAGTGCTTTATAATTTAGTGGTTTAGGCCATGTTGAAATTCTTTTTGCATAGAGTTCTTACATTCAGCAGAGAAAGAAGGTTCTTGTCGCTGAAACAATCTCTCCACCCAACACCATTCAATGGGTACGGATACAATCCTGCATCTACAGCAATGGCAAAACCATCCACAGCCGCTCCATATTCAGCTGCATACATACAATTCTCGCCCAACAACTCTACTCTACGAGTAAGTTTTTTGTTTGTGTCGAAATCCCTCAAGTCCAGATCAAGTTCAAGTGACGAATATGCTGGCATCCCCAACCATTCCCTCGACATACGAAGTTCATTATTCATCTGTACTGGTTCAAACTCACCCTCCTTCTCAAAAAGGATGAACGGTTCTGAAGTATAGTTTCCACAAGTGTTCTTATAGCGCGCAACAATTTTTCCAGCAATATTAACAACTCTGCCCATGTCTTGGCTAGATGGTCGAACAGACACTTGGCAGAGAACAGCAAATGGCATTGCAATATAAATCAAGGTGGCAGAGCACATTTTAGAATGGAATTCTTTTGATCTTACTTCTTCAAAATCACCTTCAGTTGTATCACCCACCAAAATATTCTCTTTAGCAAATGGAAAAGCTTTATCCCCAATTTTGTGATAGAGATCCACTTCTATAGTTGTTTTGTGCAATTTCATCCATAAATCATCATAACTAAGGTGAGAATCAGGCCAACAAAGAGTTAAATTGCCACCACATGAGCTAATGTTGTCAGCATTATTGGCACCCCGGTTATAAAGATCAAGCTGCATTTCTTCTCCACTCATGATATTTTCATACCTAACCCGAATCGTACCATACACAGCGAGTTGTCGCTTTTTGAGTGCTTTTTTTGGTTGTACATGTAAGGAATGCACATTAAGTAAAGGTCCAGCTACAACATGTTCTCTTCCTTTTAGCCTTTCGTTTATTCGTGAGTTACTGATATGGCGAAGAGAACGTTCTAACATGCTGAGAAGGTTAGAACCGAAGGAGACATTCATAATATGTGGGCCAGTAGTGAGGACACGTTTCACCACATCTTGTTCTGAGGCACCAGGGCAAGCTTTTAGAAGGTTCATGACAAATTCCTTAGTAACACAGGGGTAATCTTTTAGAATCTCCGTGAAATCCATAATGCAAAGAAAGATTAACTGCAATATATTAGGTTAAAATACAAAATAAGAGATCTGATAAGACCCAAAAAAAGAATGAAGCTTGAAATAAAGTGTGTTACCATCTCAGATGGTCAAAATGGCAAACAAATTGATTGCTGAAACTTAAAATGATTTTTTTTCAATGAAAACATCATCATAGATTAATATACCATGACATGAAATCAAACATAAAATCCCACGGCTTAGGGCGTGCTTGGTGAGGTGAAAAAATATGGGTTTGGATATCTCCGATATTAAATTTCCAAGATAAGTGTTTGTGGAACGAAAACAAAGGTTTGAGCCCTCAAATTGGGAGATATGGAAACCCTTCGCGTATCCCGTGTCTTGATACCTCTGCTAACGTACTGATAACAAAAATTGAAATCAGCCATATCATAACTGTGTTCTCTCCCAACACTTTCAATCCAGTTTTCAAGACCCATATCTTTTTTTCATATTATAGAATCCATATGCTATCATTTATCTTAAAGTCAACAAACGGACCCTTAATCTACCACTATATGAAATCAAACACAAACCTTTTTATCTAATCCAAATCAAACATAAACCTAGTAATAATCTGACCAATTACCTCCCCTACTGCGGGTGCCAACGAAGATAGGGGAGACCGGGCCACCAGCAAATGATTTTTCAACATAGGCCACGAAGGGAAGTTGGGAGCTTATTGTTTTCCAATAAAGTATGTGCTATAAAGAATCTATCATAAACTTTATTTTAAAATTAATCTACCGCTACATGAAATCAAACATAAAACTTTTTTTTACTCAAAATCAATCATAAACCTAGTTGTCATTATGTCACCAATAACAATACTAATCCATGGGGTTAAGTATACCTGGAAATCGACTGTTTTCCGGTGCCAACGGAAAAAGCCGCGACGAGCGAATGATTTTTCAATATAGGCTAAGAAGAGAATTTGGGAGCGAACAATTATTCAACACAGAGTCTCTATATGCGATGAAGAGAAAAGATGAAAGGGCTAGGGCGGGCTGTTGCTCAATGTCTTTTCTGCTGTTCCTTTCTAGCGATGCACGGAAAGACTACAACAACAACAATTTATAAATACTCCCTCACACTATTCCAACTTCACAGAAATTTATATTTATTTGTGTTTTTTCATGGCCAATATGATAAAATAAAATATTCTTATCACCACTTGTTTTGTTGAACTTTTGATGTAGTTTTAAAATATGTATGTTTTATTTTTTATTTCTATACCAATATTTAAATAAAATAGATTGAAAAAACTTGAGATTTTTCTTCGTTTTGCGAACCGGGAAGATCATTATAGGACGGAGGGAGTAGTAGATATGTATGTACTCCAACCTTATAAATACTATTAACCCTTTCTTGAATATTTGTATAATTTTGATTTTTTTCGATCAAGAATTTTTAATACGGAGTAATTGACATATAATTAAATAAAATATATATTATATATTAATTTAATAAAATAATATTTTGAAATATTTAATAGAATAAATCTAATTAAAATATTTTTGTATCAATATCTAATATTATCTCCGTCCCAGTATAATTAAACTATTCTTCTTGCTATTTGTTTTGCTGAGAACACACAACTACCAAGTCTTGTTGCAATTAGTCCTGTGCCATTATACAAAATATTAGCATGGCTGATATAAATATTACGCATTATCAACTTTATTGGTGCTCCAACCTTTAGTTTCAATTAGTGATTTTGAACCCCAGAACATTTGATGGTGATGATTTTGACCATGTAATTTGATTATGAACGAAACAGTACCATCATTAAAAGTATAATCGACATCACCACACATTGAGGTGAAAGATAACATATTACTACGTATTATATGTGTGAATGTTCTTGCTAAAATGTCTGCTTTTTGTGTCATTTATGTAAATAAATTTTTAATTTTAACATTTTTTTACAATTTAATAATATCAAAAATAAATAATAATAAAAATAATATTAATAATAAAATTATTAGCATCATTATTATAAGTATTATTATTACAATGTTTATAATAGTATAAAAAATGTAAATGACTTACAGTCATCTATATTTTTTTTGAAAAACGCTACGATACACTAAAGGTGTATTCCAAATGTCTGTCATCCCCTCCTTGTTTATAATAATTGACAAAAAATTAATAAAAATAAATAAATAAAAATCAAATAAAGATTTATGGTGGAAAAATATGTGGTGTACAATTGGGGTAAAAGTGTACCCCTAGCATTGCTGATTTTTTTTATGCTTGGGAATCTATCATCCAATTACATTGGTATATTTATCAAATCTGTGTTCACAAAATTTGACGTGTCTATATACATATATAGAGAAGAATGCGAGAGGAATGCGCGTCTCTTGTGATATTTTTACCTGCAAATAAGAAAAATTTAAATGTTTAACCATTGATTGTTTTTTGGGTATAGTATTTGTACCTCATTTTGTACATTACAAGGATGCATCAATATTTTATGCCGGTGTAATGCTAATTTTATTAATACATCAATACTTTGTGTCAATGTAAATTATTGTTAACGTACCAACGCTTTGTGTGAGTGTGAACCATCAAAATATTAGTGCATACCTTCAGGGCCTTGTACGACACATAGAAAATTGGTCATTGTGTCATAATATAATAAAATCTATCAATTACTTTATTTAAAAATAATTTCACTTTACTAATAAGAATAATAAAATATAAAATACTAGGCCGACTGCCCTTTATTTTTTTGTGTTTTAAATTTTTTATATTAATAAACAAATGTGTGTGTGTGTGTATATATATAATACTTGGGCCTCCTAAAAAAGGGGTCATGTCCCAATGGCCAGGCTGCCCTGCCTCCAACCGGCCATGCATACCTTTGGTGTAGATGTAGCATGCTCCTTGTTTTTTTTTGAAAACCTAAAACATGTGTTTCTTGACTAAATTTTTAAATTCACAAAATACGAATTGTAGAAACGAAATCATAATAGGTTTTATTGTAATTTTTTATTGAATATTAAGAATTTTTTAAATACTACTACATTCAAATAACTTTTTGTTTTTTTTCTGAATATGTAATTTTTTTTATTTTCTATAACGATATTGAATTAAAATTAGTTGAAATTGTGTCACTTATATCATTACTAATTTTTACCTGGACTACATCATTATATTATTTTGCTATTGCTAAATTATTGTCACGTGCTATTAGGTAAAGGTAAATCCAGCCTTATCCACCCACCTTATGGTCCTTATTGCTCCAATAATTCACTCTAGCAAATTGCCTGTCAAATCTCCCTCGCTGTATTCTCTCATTCTTCTTCATTCAAGCCCTTCGCCGCGGCGGTTCAGGAGACAACCAGACAGCGATCGTTAGCCAAGCTTCTCCTTGTGCGGCAGAAACGTCTCCTGAGCGCCGTTCTTGAAAGACGGCAATTAGATTCCAGCGGCGTTGATTGATTCCCAGAAAATGGAAATGGCTAAGGTGCATCGGTGGTAAAGTTATGTCATGAATCAAATTTTTCGATCGTGTGTTGGTTCCAGATCTAGGGTTTCTCACTATCTAAGGTTTGTTTCTATGATTTCATCTACAAATATTTTTCATATTTTTATGTTAATTTCTGGTTTCTGTAGGGTTTTTTCCAGATCTTGAAGAATTATGTAAGAACTTTGGGATCTTAATGATGCTCTTCTACTGCTCTGAGAGTATTGTCCATGAAGCTATTTCTATTTTTTTCTCTTGGCTTCATTTTCTTTTAGAATTGAGATGTAATTTTGATGTGTTCGGTGTGACATAATCTGATGTGTTTGATATGATGTAATTTGGATGCATTTGATGTTTGATGATCTGGGACTGGGAGAGATAGGAAGGTCAGGATGGTTGTGTATAATTTGTCTTTTTCCTGTGTCCATTTTGGAGTGAAAACCTAGATATTTGACATGTGTAATAGCTTTAGTTTTGGCCATTGGATTGCTTATTTTTGGCGGGAAAATTGAGCAATGAAATTTGGGCAGCAATTTCCCATCAACTTTTATATATATATATATATATATATATATATATATATATATATATATATATATATATATATATATATATATATATAGTAGATTTGAACCAGACAGGAACTACAGTCTACGGAGAGCATTTCGAGTTTAATTGTGTGACCGAATTTGTATATATCCGCTCAAATCCGGTGCACCAGCCGAGTTAACCGGCCTGACTAGAGGGTTTGGTTCGAGTTTCTTATTTGAACACAAAAGCCTAACACACAACCGTCTTAGGCTATAACTACTTAGGCTTTGTTCCATTTAACTTATTTTTTTTTATATGATTTTTTGTAATTCTGATCTGATCTGGTTAGATCTGATCTGGTCATATTTGATTCGATCTGATCATATATGATTAAATCTGATCTCATTAATTATGATTTGATTTAAAATTCAAATCAATAATTTGATTTGACTTTGTAATAACTTTTGAAAATTGTGATGATAATTCATATTATAATATATTCACGTACCTAGTTGAAAGTCGGTTTACACCCTAAGAGGGGGGTGAATTAGGGTGTTTGCAAGTTTTTACTTAAAAACAAAAACTTATGCGCAAAGTAGTAGCGGAAAAAGAGCAAGAAAAGTATAAAAGATAAAAATACGACACAAGCGATATTATACTGGTTCGGGAACTCCCTACTCCAGTACCTTGAGGCTCCTCCTCAAGGATTTAACCTCCACTAACTTGTTTGGCTTCACTAAGAAGACTCAAACGAGGTTTGGCAAACAACCCTTGCCAATAAGCAAATGAGATTTTGATACGGCTATCTCAACCGTTTACAACCAAAGATTTTAAGGCTATCTTCAACCAAACAATGAGGATTTAGAGGCTATCCACACCTTTTACAAATCAATAAAAAGATTGGTGTTGATTGTAACATCCTAATCCGTCCAGGTCTGCAGCCCCTTTCGGACTAAAGTATTTAACTTGATAATCGTAAAATTTAAAACTTTTCAAACACACTTTATTAATCTCAATAATATTTTTTCATAACATATACAGTACGAAGTATTTAACAATATTGCGTAAGCAAACTTAATATTGACATATCATAAATCATTTCAAACTTGTCACATCCATCCCGACAATCTCGCCCCATCTGCCGTCAGGATCACATTAATCTTTCTGTTTACCTGCGTGTAGCAAATAAAACACACTACACGCCCAGCGGTAAAGCTGAGTAAGCATATCTAATGCGTCAAACATCCATATAAACTGAATCTAAATTCATAATCAAATCTTTTGATATCATGCACACAATGTTCGTTTCAGACATTCAGAGTTTTGATATTATTCAGTTCATATCAACACATTTTATTCAATCCAGATACTATTACAATAGTGCTCTTAAATTATTCTTAATCTAAGGCCAGATCATAACAACGCTCTTAGCTATTCTTAGTTTAAGGCTAGGTCATATTAATGCTCTTAGCCATTCTTAGTCTAAGGCCAAATCATAATTTCATTCTCAGACGCTTAAACTATAATTAGTTTAAGGCAAACATTTCTCAGACGCTTAAACTATAATTAGTTTAAGGCAACAGTTCTTAGACGCTTAAACTTTAATTAGTTTAAGGCAAACAATACTCAGACGCTTAAACTATAATTAGTTTAAGGCAACAATAAGACAATAATTAATCATCATTGAGTCGAAGTATTTCCAACGAGTGATCCTCTAGCTTAGTCTACGAATCCCGTTTATACATTTTTATCCAATTCATCGAATATTCATGTTTTCATAAGTTCATTCTAAGATCTATTCTAGAAGTCTTCTAGATAGTCTTAACATTAATTAGCTAATAGGTATATCTTAAAGTTCTTCTAGATATCCTTA